AAGAAAGTTAGGGTTTAGGGTTTAGCACTAAGGGACGACATCGAGTCAACAACATTCTTATCGTGGAAAATGCACGTGGACATGCAGCACGCCAGATGCATTCTAGCATGTACCTGAATGTTGTGCATGGCCACACATTCTGATTATGCCATACAGGTCTTCTTCCAGGTTCTGACAGGGGCATACAGGGCTTTCCCCTAATAACCCCAAAAGAAGCGGAAGTAAGGAAAGCTAAGAAAGAACATCACATGGATAGTCAAACTCTTGATGAAGCCAGAAAGCGCGTGGAACAAACTGGCATTAGACAGCATCAGAGCTTTGGCTCCAGTAGCCTCACCAGAAAATATGACGGGTCTGTTTTGGATAATGAACAAGGAATGGAACCTGAAAACAGGCAGGAGAAGACCAAGAAGGGGATTTGATCTGGACACAGCCAGACGCCCTACCCCATACTGGTCGTCCCTGATTCGGATCTGGAGAGAAATATTACCAAAGAAGACCAATAGACCAAAATCCAAAGATGAGGTCTTAAGACAACCGCTGTTTGGCAATGAGTGGGTGAAAGACGAAAGCGATATGCCTCTGTATTTAGATCACAAGTGGCTATCGTGGGTCAAAAACGGAGTATGGACAGTAAGCCACCTATGGAACAAAGAAAGGAAAGAATGGGTGACCGAACAGGAGTTGAACACTCGTTTGAAGGGTTGTCACAGACGAGGGCCCAATCTCCAGTATATTATTAATCGCATCCCACAAGACTGGAAAGATATTTTGAATGAAGCGTCTCCCTGGAAATCCGGAGAATGGGGAGTTAAAGTGCAAGAGTCCCCTCCATCACGAGCTTTCCAATTCTCACACATGCAACCGGGATCAACCACCAAAGCCGTCTTTACCTCCTTCCCGATCTCCCCGTCCAAGCAGGGCATGCCATCTATTCTAAACAAAGAAGTGGAATCGGCAGTCATGGATTTCTTCTTACTTAGGAAAGTAAGGGTACTAGGCTCATGGCCTAAATTAATCTTCAGACCAGACACGGCAGTACATAATCTGGAATTTGACCCAGCAGAGTGGGCCTGGACACCGGACAAGGAGAGGAATATCAGGGTTCATGTCCCCATAGAGAACTACATAGTTAAATTTGGATACAAACTCCTGGTTA